AATATATATATATATATCTTGAGCGATCTATTCCTTTCAAGCCCCCTCCCCCAGACGAATTTTCCCCTTTCTTTTTATTTTTATTTATTGTTATTATCTTTTTGTTTTTAAAACCCCTATCGACATAAGTTACATCATTTAAGGGTATACGAGACGGGGCTCGTCAGGGCCAATCCAGGCTGAGAGTGATACAATATCCGAGCAGAAAGACCAAGAAACTCGATAAAAAGTTCTAACCGCTACACCAGAGACGCAAGTCTCTCTCTCTCTCTCTCTCTCTCTCTCTCTCTCTCTCTCTCTCTCTCTCTCTCTCTCTCTCTCTCTCTCTTTCTCTCTCTCTTTCTCTCTCTCTCTCTTTCTCTCTCTCTTTCTCTCTCTCTCTCTCTCTTTCTCTCTCTCTCTCTCTCTCTCTCTCTCTCTCTCTCTCTCACACACACACACACACACACACAAACACACATACAGAGCGAAAGCCCCGAGCGAAAGCCCCGAGCGAAAGCCCCTATCCAATAGCCATTAGATCACGTATCTTGACAAGACCTTCATCGTTTTCCCAGCTTCATCAATCTGCTTCGTTAATTTGTTATCTGTTGGCGATGAAAAACACGGGGGTACTGAATACAGTTCACCTCGCAGGAAAAAATGCATGACCTCCGCACGGAATCGATGGCATAGAAAAATTATGGGAATCTGGACAGCACCTGGATTTTGGATTCGAACGCCAAAATGACAGTTGAAAACTTACATTCCCATCGCCACAACTGTAAAAGTTGGTGATTGTGCCCCTTTAAACTCTGACAGGTAATTCAGAAAATTAAAGTCTGTATCTATAGAACCAGGTGAGTACAATGGCTGGGAAACTAATCAGACAAGTATGCTCTGGAGTAGGGCTGGATCCTGCTCGGCAAATCTGAGAGTGGCGAATCGCGATTCAGTCATCTTCAAAGAATCGCGAGTACGCGAGCGCTCGTGAAACTGTGGCGGAACACTGACTGAAACGTAACAGTGTCATATCAACGCCACTTTGCGAGCGCGAGTCCCACTCTTGTTGTTCCGCTATCCTCTCCGCCCCACACCTTTTGTTGCGCTGCTCTATCAACTGACCTTAATTAGTGACCCCCATAAATCCCCCCCCCCCCACCTCACCATTCGCTAAAATAATGGCTCCATAAAATTCCTTCTGTCTCTTGGTTGGACCCCGTTCATTTTGTTTTAATAGGGGGGTTGGACTATACCATCTTTTGTAAAATAAGGGGAGCCATACTAAGTGTTCCGTTCCGTTCTTGCGCTCAAGACTCGACTCAGCAGTAGGTTAAACAAGCCACAAGGTGGTGACAGCGACAGGGGAATGAATCGGGAATCGTTTGGCGATACTGTTCCGTGTTCCGCTGAAGTGAATCGTGAATCGCGTTCCGCAGAAAAGAGTGGCGATTCAGTTCCGTTCTCGCGCTCGTGACCCAGCCCTACTCTGGAGTTATAAAGAACGGTTGTGCATCATTGAATCATAGCCCAAGATAAAACCAACGGGACTGACGGGTTCCCCAAACGTGTTTCTATGTACCAGCGATTTGAGTATTGAGGTTAGGTGAAGAGAAGCACACAGATATATTTATGATCATTTGGTATTGGAAAAGAGCAAAGACAAAAAATAAAAAAGAGTCAACACAAAGAACCTATAAGTGGTCCCCTCCAAGTTTATTAGGGTAGAAACAGGCACATCAACAAAATAACAGTCAGTGAGTGCAAGGGAAAGGTGGGAAAAGCAGACTTAGACTACAGATGAAAAGAAAAGAAAGAGAACCTGTCACAAGTAAAGGACAGAGCACTAGAGCGGAAGAACTTTATCATACCACGCCCAGTACATGTGGAACGCATTACCAGCACTTCTAATGAGAGTCGATCACTTCAACAAAATTAAAATCAGCGCTTAAGCGTATCTTTTTCTTGCCAGCTTCTCAATACACAACATTTATTTCAGTATATACCAGAACTGATCTGTAATAAGTGGCTGTGTGTCGTCATCGATCAGTGTGTGGGTGATAGGGCTGGATCCTGCTCGCCAAATCTGAGAGATTCAGTCATCTTCAAAGAATCGCGAGTACGCAAGCGCTCGTGAAACTGTGGCGGAACACTGACTGAAACGTAACAGTGTCATATCAACGCCACTTTGCGAGCGCGAGTCCCACTCTTGTTGTTCCGCCATCCTCTCCGCCCCACACCTTTTGTTGCGCTGCTCTATCAACTGACCTCAATTAGTGACCCCCATAAATCCCCCCCCCCCCCCCCTCACCATTCGCTAAAATAATGGCTCCATAAAATTCCTTCTGTCTCTAGGTTGGACCCCGTTCATTTTGTTTTAATAGGGGGGTTGGACTATACCATCTTTGGTAAAATAAGGGGAGCCATACTAAGTGTTCCGTTCCGTTCTTGCGCTCAAGACTCGACTCAGCAGTAGGTTAAACAAGCCACAAGGTGGTGACAGCGACAGGGGAATGAATCGGGAATCGTTTGGCGATACTGTTCCGCGTTCCGCTGAAGTGAATCGTGAATCGCGTTCCGCAGAAAAGAGTGGCGATTCAGTTCCGTTCTCGCGCTCGTGACCCAGCCCTAGTGGGTGAGTGTGTAGTAAGTTCTTTAGTTTCGTTTTTTTTGTG